AATATGAGCGGAAGCGTGAAGAAAAGGAAATCAAGGAAAGAATGGAGAGAGTGAAGAAGGCACGGGAGGAGCATGAGAAAGCACAGAGGGTGAATATTCAGGCTTTAATACTTCTTAATAATTTGGAGAGTGTTATTTTGGTTATAAGGAATCGCAGAGAAAAAAAATTGAAGTCTTAAAGTTTAGACAGTTGGTTTATGTCTCGATTACTTGACTAATAATGAAAGCTGGAGAAGAGGGCATTTAACTGCATCTGGTTGTATTGCTTATGACAGAAACAGTCTCTGGAATCTCTACTAATCCTTTATTTCAGAAACTCAGTTATTGTAAGACTGTTCCAGAATAATTTTCACTTATGTATCCCAAAATGGGAGGTTTTAAATTCAGGATAATACTCTGCTGCTTTTCCTCAAATCCTGATGCAGTTTGCTTATTTTTTCTTTGTGCTGTAGTGATATATTTTAATATACTGGGGGTGGGAGTCCTAAAAATACAGTTGGGGAGCTAAAACAAATCATACAGTTCATATTCAGTAAAAAAACATGTTCTACATAACTTACCTGCAATAATATACAACAGGAAGAGTAGACAGCTATTTCTTGTCAGTGGCTTTGTACGTAGTGGAGTGCTTTGTTTATTGTGGTAGCCTACCTTCCTGAAACAATCTTGGCTATTTTTTGTTCTCCTAAACCCAGTTGAGCAGTAGCAAACAGACTGCAGTTCCATTGTTTTGTTTGGAATGATGTGCTTTCATCTACAGGAGGAAGAAGCAAGACGACAGGCAGGAGGGGCTCAGTTTGGTGGCTTCCCAGGTGGCTTCCCAGGTATTTTATTTTTAAGCACCAGTACTTGAGGTAGGGGTGGTTCTTGTTTCCATATGGAGTATTATAATTACAGTTTTTACAGCATTTGTTCTCAAGAGAGAGAGAAAAATATTTTATGAAGTTTAGAACTTGTCTACAAGTAACTCTTGGAGCACTAGTGGGAAGAGGGATGGGATTTTTTCTCTTAAAGAAGATTGATGTTGTGTAGCAAGTAGAGGGAAGACAGAAATCATTAACTGATAGATAACAGAATGAGAGGATTTAGGTCTGGATAAACAAAGAAGTAGAATTTGCTTGATAATGTGTTGAAAATCTAGAATAAAAGTGTTTGTAAATTATCCAGTATGCCTTGGACCCATTTTGCTTAAGAACAGAATTTGGATTGAATATTATGGAAATCTGTGCTGGTTGCAAGCTTTTGTTGAATAGAAGAGTTTCTTAAAAGAGTTAGCGCAGTTTATTTCATAGAAAAGTTGTCCTTGAGAGTTCCACAAAAATCAGGCTTTCCATGTTATTTTTTGATACAAAGAACTGGGGAGAAACAAGAGTAAGTACTAATGCTCTGGAAGATTGAGACCATATGTACCATGCTCAGCACAGCTGGGGAAGCTGATGATTACGGATTCAGTAAGAGAACCTCAAGCATTTTTTTTTTCCTCTGGTGGTATAATTTTTTCACACCTAAAATTCCCACCACGGAATATATATCCCACGGGATATACTACTACTGATCTGCTTTTGCTCTGCATTGTTCACCCCAGGCATTCAAACTCCTTGTTTTCCTGGGCTTTAGACCCAACTGATTTAAGTTAACCAGAAAAATAACTGTACTCATTACAAGCCTCCTATTCAGTTGGGTTAAAAACATAGAGAAATAAGATGTAAGTCTTCACAGAAAGAGCAGTTGGAAGACCCTGCTTTCTGTTCAGTGGACCAGCCGTAGCCTTACAGAAGACATGGCTTTAGAGGTGTGGCAAGGGCAGTACGTGTTAGTCTTAGTGAGCTTCCTGTACAGATGAGTTAAATGTTTTTCATTATGCGTTTTTCTTGTCTTGGGTTTTCAGGTGGATTTCCTGGGGCTATGCCTGGAGGGATGCCAGGCATGGCAGGTATGCCAGGTCTCAATGAGATTCTCAGTGATCCAGAAGTTCTTGCGGCCATGCAGGTGAGTATTTGTTAAAATCAAAGCTACATGTTCTGAATGAGAGAAGAGCAGCACTTAGGAGCTTAAAGGCAGGGAGGAAGATATGACCTTCTGGAAAGCAATAGGAGGCTTTCTTGTTTCTGTTGTAAAATTCTTTCCTTGTGTATGTGACGCCAGACTGTCTGGATTCAATGTTAGCTATTTTTCAAACTAATGGGAGCCTAATCAAAGATGACACACTCACGTACACCCTGGTCTGTGATAGGCAACACTGTGCTATTTACAGTTTGTCAGGTCTTTAGAAAAAATCTCTCAAATAGTCATTTCCATTCACTGCCCAAACAAAAAATTGTTGTAACATAAGATATTGCAGTACTGTTGAGATGAGGGTTGTCTTTCTCTTAGGGGATTAAGTATGTGTTTTTTTCAAGAGACAAAGTAGTATCAGAATAGTTCTGCATCTTGGCGTTTTCTGAATTCATGTTCATAAAGCTTACTTCTCTAGTAGGCCTGATTAATTGCTCAATTAAGTAATTGCTCAATGTCATGACTAATTCTACTCAAGAGAAGTATTCCAGCAGATTAAATGGAACATATCTGACAACATCAGTTTTAAGGGCAAGTGGGATAGGAAAAACTGGAGTAGTAGTAGTAGTAGTTGTATTTGCATGCCAGTATGATCAAGTATAAAAGAGTCTTGTTTCTTTTTATGGACTGCTGTGGTTAGAGTAGAGTTACATGTTGTTGTCAGCTCATTGAAACAAAGGCACCACAAGGGAACCTTATTCAGAATGCCCTGGAATCACAAAGAAGTCACCACTTCCCACGTGAAAGTTCATGGGTTCCCTTAATGGTTGCCGATGTTGGGAAACACACCTTTACTTACATGACCACAGTCAGCAATGTTGACTTGCATCCAGAGAAGGCCCATGATTTGTAGTTGTGTTCCTTACCTGGCTAATTTATGCTGCAGTACAGGAATTTGCAATTAGAGTTGCTGAAAACAGAGTTTTGAGGTGCAGCGTATTATGTCCTTGCTACATGCCTTTAAGAAGACTCCATTGCATGTTGATCTACTGTATATCCCAACATAGGGTAGGACTCTGTTGCAAGAATGTGTGTTGACAGTGTTTTCTGGTACTGCAGGCAGGCTTTAACATGTACAACCTGTCAGCAAAGCCTTGAGTCTTGCTGACCTCCTTGTACAAACTTTACATCAGGGTATGATTTATTTAGCGCTGCCACCTTTTCCTAAAATATCCTAACTGTGTTCTGGTCTTCTCTGAATTGACAGTATAGGCTCTGGTCTTAAAAGACAGTAGTTTCTACTGCTTGGCTTCTGCTCAGTGCAGCTGTGGAATACATGGATGGATAATGTTTTCTGGCAGTTATTATGTCTGTTATCTGAGGTGTTACGAAAAAGTCTGAAGGTGCTGAATCACACAAGTCACTCCCAAATTGCTATTTTAACTGGTAGTGTATAGGAGTTAGTGCCAAAACTGGAGTATTCTGAGAGTAAAGACTACCACCTCAGTCTTTTTAGACTTGCTATCATCTCATCATCTTTGAGACTATTCTCTGTGAGTTAACACTGAAATATCCCTCAGTCTGTTAACACCTCAGTAAACCTAACTACTGTGTGCCTGAACACGAGCTAAATTAAACTGGTTATGCTGTCAGCTTCATCTTGTCATCTGTAGAAGCAACCAAAGAACCAGATATGGATGCTCATGGACATGTTTTGGGAAGTTATTGCTCGTCATTGGCATAAAGATAAAAGTCTTACCTGCACTAGGTGACCCTGCCTTGGTAGGAGGGCTGGACTGGGTGATCTGCAGAAGATTTATTTCTTTAGGATGTTGCCTTTTTTTTTTTTTTTTTTATTGTTACTGATATTAGTCTTCTAAGCACTAAAGACTCAAAGCAGCAAAACTTCTTTTGCATTTCTTTTCACATCTTCTTAATGACAGTAAGTTGTGACAGTTGGCAGTGACTTCTGACGCGTGTAATTTTAGCTCATTTGCCCCAAGCCTTTTAGTCTCCAGAAGAATTGACTGAAATTTTAGTGTGTTTCTCTTATTTTACTGGTTTGCCTGTCTAGAGGATTCTCTAGAATTTCCTATCTTGCATGTGCAACTGCTTTCTGTAGACACAACATGACTTTTGTGTTTTGGAGTCAAATAGAAGTTCTTTTCATAAGGAGTGATGTGCAAGATGAACCTATGGATTCCTTTTTTGATGTGTAGCTATATGTTATACCCAGATTCCACCAAAATGTGTAAGTTGGAAACAAAAGACCAGTGATAATTTTTTTCTTGGAAATATTTTTCATCCTTCTGCAATTAAACACTAGGGCATTAGGAAAACATTAGAAAACTGAATGTCTCCCTAGTGTAATTTATAGAATGGCTGCCATTCCACCTTATGTACTACTCACTTCCCTATGGAAATGTTGATATCTTCAGTCTTAAACTTTATTTTGCTAATATTGCTTATCAATGTGAAACCTTGGATGTGTATAGTGTTCTTATAAACACCATCTAGGGTTGAAAGCTTCCAAGTAGCACAAATGCAGAATCATTTGCTTGCTGTGAATTTACAGGACCATGAAACATGTAGCATAAAATTGAATATTTAACATTCATTTAGATGTACTTTGACACAAACCAGCAACTAAGCTTACTCAGCTTTTTGTTTCAGATTCATATATAGGTGAAATCAAATTTAACAACATGACATGATCTTTATAATCACATACCCTATTTTGAAATGAATTCAAGAAGTTTGAGGTTGGAAAGTCTTCACTTTTTCCTTTCTTGGGAATACAGTAAAGTGGAGAAAATATGTCTAGTCTCTGTGTTCTGAACTTCAGCATTCCATTTTTTATAGACTTTACAGATTATCTTTTGTGAGGAAGACAACACACTTGTAAATCCTCCAGTTGGTTTAGGAACCGAGACTAGACTCTTGGTTCCTAACGTGTATAAAATATACCTAAAGTGCATGGGTAATTTCAGGGCAGTCCACACCTACCAAATGCTGTTTAGGATCAGACTTAACAGTTTTGAATGCTGCACATGTGGAGCCGCTACCTTCTTCAAAATACATTTGAAAGATGCCTGAGCAGAAATAATGCAGTAGGTGTGGCTGTGTTTAAAAGCTCCTGTTCTGGAGAAACAGAACTCTTATCCCGTTCCCCTTCTCACACAGTGAGCTATCAGAGTAACAAGTTGAATAATGACTCTGGTGTTTACTGACACAGCTTTTTTTTTTTAACAATATGCACTGTATCATTGGATTCTCTTTACAGACTTCATGCCAAGAGTCTAACGTAGTCTTGTTATGTTAAAAATGTAGTCTTGTGATGTTAAAAGCTGAGCAAGACTAGATTCATGTGGAACCACGTAGCCACTAACTTTTGTAGAACTTGTTTTACAAATGCCCTAATTTTTTTCCGCTTTTTGTCCTGCAGGATCCAGAAGTTATGGTTGCATTCCAAGATGTTGCGCAGAACCCAGCAAATATGTCCAAGTACCAGAACAATCCCAAGGTCATGAATCTCATCAGTAAATTGTCTGCCAAATTTGGCAGTAAACCATAAAATCCCTTGTTCTTAAAAAATCATATCTGAATGGGAAGGATTGGATTTGGCTAAGCAGTGTTGCAATAAAACGAACCACTTTACCTCTAATCTTTTTAAGAAGAGGAAGTTCTAAGGAGAACTGCTCTCTAGCCCCAAGCATTTACTTTATTCAGTTATTGGTTTATAGAAACCCAAATTGTATTCAGATAACGTAGTTTCAAACCATCTCTTCTTGTCCAAGAGTTGCAACCTTTTATTTTAAGTGTTACAGACAGTTTCCTCTGAATGAATGCTCCTGTGAGAAATTGTAATATTTCAGAGTGTAAAATAAAAACATGCAATTTTTTTTTTTAAACTGGGATTATTTTTTTTTTTGATTGCTCTCACTGAGCAAAGAGGAAAGAACTTTAACAGTTCAAGTCTGTCTTAATCCCCTTTGGACGGAAAAGTTGGCCTAGTCACAAATAGCAAAGGTGGGACAAGTTTGAAGAATTAACTGGATAAAGGAATTGCCTGCAAATACATTTTTTTTCCTTTTTTAAAATGGGTGACT